CATCCAATGTCTTGTATGTAATTATGCCAACACATGAACATGGTAAGATTCCCCCGAAGAGGAAAAGAACGAACCAAAATGTATGTAATAAAACAGAGGAATGAAATATTTCCAAAAAAAAAAACAAAAAGAGAAGTAACAAACTTTTAAGCATGAAGAGGATGAACTATTAACTATTAACAATATTTGCACTTGTCTGTCACAATACAATATGGATATTATCTTCCAGCATTGACTAAAAACCAGCAACTAAAAGCAGACACAAGATACTGGTAGAAGAGAAATGGCTTTGGATATGTAAAGCTCACAACATACGAACATGCAGTGCTCCTAAACAAAATTGAAATTTCACAACTCTATCAAGTGCCAATTTAGACAGATAAGAGTTCCTAGCCAAAGGTTAATTAGCATATCAAGAAACTTACAAGCATACTGGGGGCACCTCTAAATCACCAACCGTATTATCAAGTCTGTTATAGTTGCTAAGGATCTTGTCTCTTGAATCTGCAAATACATCTAGCATGAACCAAAGGAAGCAGTGAAAAAAAAAAAAGGATTCACATAGCTTACTCCAAGTTTATCCGGGACAAGGCTTAGTTTGTTGGTGTATCAATTACCTGATGAACCTGGCAAAGAGAATCACAGATTTTTATGTGAACTAAATAACAAACGCACATAATCCACTCAATATTTGATATAACAAATGAAAGTAAATATCCCTTAATAGATAATCAATACAAATAAGAATGTTAAAGAACTTGCATTTCTTTTTGAGAGTTCTCCGGAAGTAATACATTGTCAGTCCATAATGATGGATTAGCTTAGCAAGTTTAGACCCCGACTCGCAGGTCATGTGAATTACTATCTAAACGCATATATACAAAGAACAACACCGATAAATGTGGCAAAATTTCCACTGAACACTTAAGTTATCCCCCAATTTTCGTGCCAGAACACAGCCGAAAACGAACCAGCACCACTTTAAATACTGTACATGACACACTCAGTAGTATCTAACAACCAGAACAGGTCCTCTGAAGCTATTTTCCATAGTATCTCATATTGTTTTGACTTTGGATGGTTCAACTAAGCCCTTCATCCATGGTAAATACAATGTCATTATTGTTGAGAAAATATCACATGAACTTG